CTGCCAAAAAGAGGGGCTTAGAAATGTTTAATCATTCAGTCTATGGGATTATAGGTTTTAGACAAATCTGTCTAGTCAGCTGGACTTAAATTAACCGTAAATATATCGCTCTAGATAAGAATTTTGAGGCATATTCGTTAGTTTGACGAGTACCCTTAAAAAAGGTATGGATGAACACGTAATACTTCGCAAACTATTCGTCAACTCTAATAGATAAGTATAAGTTAACATCATTAAACCCCAATTTTGGGACGAGTATTTTTACCTCGTCAGATTATTTGATTATCTTGGAATCGGATCGGAAGCTGCCCTAGCTGGATCCTCTCCTCTTGGAGAAAGATTTCACCCTGCCTAAATGACTATAATAGCCAAGAAATGGCAAAGGGCACGAAGCATCGTGCAGGATCATTTTGGAGCCAAAAATTGAATGACAGTATCAAACTTCTGTTGTTATTATATTGCCACATTTGAATACGACTAACTAAAAGTTTCTGTGTTACAGAAACAATTATGTAAATCCCTTTTTGTTGCTCTTCTTTTCGAGATAACATTAGTGCTAAACACCTAAGAGGTCTAAGAAATGACATGCATATCTTGATTAGAGGAAGTCAGGGACGGTAAGGTGCTTTGGATACCAGAATTTATAATTACCTTTATAGCATATGAATTAGTAATTTTTCCTTAAAGAAAAAAGGTCAGCCAAATTATTTTGAGAGAGAAGAGACTATAATTCCTGCAATCTTGGCAACTGTTGATTTAGGTTTACGCCTTATCACCTCGAATTGAGGTTAACCGACAGCTGTATGCAATGTCTGGTCTCAAGAATTTTCAAGTTGACCTAGACAGTTGACCTGTTTTTGTGGATCTGGTCTATCAGGAAGCGAAATAATTGATGACATTTTATCGTCAACGGTCTCTAACTTCTGAAAGCGCTTTAATGTTAGTATTCGCGGGAAAAAATGCCCCTAAAGTTATTTTCTTTTTTTCTTTTTCTTGGTGCAGTCCACTTGCGTGAGCTTTAATTATCACCATTATACCCACTAATGACTTCCTGTCCAATTATCTTTATTAACACTTCCCATGTAAAATGAGTCTTTAGGAAGTTGTGATGCATCCTTTGTCCTGAGCAGGATTCACGCAGTTAATTGACAAAATTACTTTTTCCCACGCTTGAAACGCGGTAAAACAAGTTGTCAAACGTAATTTATCTCTCCTAAAAAGTCTAAGACGGTCAAGATTGATTATAAGGGAAAGAAGGGATCATGAGGCTATGTTCCTTCGAAGGCTTATTTTTAGTCAAGGCATTAAAAAAATTCACCTTAATTAAGACTCGAAAATTCAATTTAAGAAAAAGCCACAAGTATCGTATTGCCTGTAAATTTAATAGATCTCAGGGGAGGATTGCTTTGCAAACGAAAGCTTACAATATCAGCTTTAGATCTGACTAATACATAATTCATTTCATTTCAAAAGTAGGAGAAAATCTGGGTGAATTTAAATGGAAGTTTTTAAAAGTAGATCTGAGGAAATTATTTGTGATAATGAATGCGACGACAATGGAAAGGATCAGTGCCAACGATACCTGCTCGATGCAACCACGAAACTGGAGTCGCCAGCCATATCTGCGTGATTCAGCGTCGAATAATGCTAATTTTAGTCGTCTTTTCTTTTACTTTGCTGCCAATTGCCATCGCTTTGTTTATGTTAGCGGTGTTGGTGATTACTAGAGTCTGTTCGACTTCGAATATTGGCGGCGCACTGGGGGGGGGGGGGGTATATTCCCGAAGGATTAGAAGGTGCACTGCATCCAGGCTATAAGTTTTTCGGAAGTACTAGAGCCAGTAAAACATCAATTTCAGAAATTAAAATATTCTTTAGGTGGTAAAATTATAGCAGTAGGAGATATTTTGAGTATGTTCATGAGCTTTATTTATTCCATGAATAGGGTCATTATTTGAGTTTCTTTTCAAGGCAGCCTATGTTCAGTAACACAATCATTTTTCTATCGTTTTCCTACTAACCCTTTAACTCAAAGCGAGTGACCAGGACAGAAGTTTTACTTACAATATGACTATAATATCAAACAGAAAAGTGGCGAGAATCAAGACAAATATAAAGGCAATTAGGGGATTCCTAGTTGATCCAATACGAAATTCTCGGAACCATCACCGTAAGAATTGTATGGCAAATAGTGAGGAGAATTATGAATGGAATCTTGAAATCAACCAGAAGAGGAACAAGCGGAAATTCTCCCCTTGTGAGAACCAGATCTGGATACTAGATTTATGGATAAATCGATGCGTTTTATTATGAGGGCATGCAGTGAATAGTGCAAATGCGTTTAAAAAAATAGTGTCAGAGAGTGTTAAAAAACTGACTAAAAAGTTAACTCTTAAAAATCAAGAGTTTTTTTTATTTATATTGCATTTATACTTCTTATGACCAGTAAGATCAAGATGCCCAACGGGAAACGTCACTTCACTCATCCAAGTACTGGTAATCGCCATTTTAATTTATTTCAAACATAAAAACACCATAAATAAGTCTACCTGAGATATTTGTTTGATATGACTGTTACATTGCTCATAAAAGAAAGAAAACATGGTAGCATATTGGCCCACCATTGTTTCCTTAGCGATGAGGAATACTGATTATAGCCGTAATAGGATTGTGTGACGCAGAATGATTCAATCTTGACACAATGTCTTTGTTGCTGTTGTTTTTATTATTATTACTATTATTGTTATTCATTGTTTTATTTTCAACTTTTTTTATGAAAGTTAAGAATACAAAATGTTATCAAATAAAAATACATTTCTTTCGACAAAACAATCACACTACCTATGAATGAATAAGGTCAAGATATTACCAGTCATTGCCTTGGCTAGAAGTTTTTTTTTGGAGCTAATTGTAAGGAAGCACCAGAGGCCGTATTGCAATGCTCCTAGTTCACGAGAACAAACTTTGCCTTTCTTAGTTTTTCATCTTAATTCGTAGTATTGACAAATATTGGTAACAGATGGAGTGGGAATGACAGAGGGGTGTATTCTTTTAATATAATAAGTTTATTACCTTAGCCATCAAGACGGCTGAACATATTGGGCCTCCTGGCTTCCCCGGGCCAGTAAGTCCTCCGGGACTTAAGGGATCAGGAGACTTAAGAGCACGTCATTTTAAATCAAAGAGTGAAGGAACACCCCTGGTACCAGCACGCTACTTGTACATATTGATGAACCGACAGTTGGTACATCTATACTTTTCATTTGGAAAAAAAGTGGATAGATAACTAAAAGAGATAAAAAGATAAATAAATGAAATAGATAAAGGAAGGGATTTCTAAGTATGACATGTCTTTACCTCTTGGACAATTCCTACAATCTATGAAAACAACCCCAAGTAATTAGAGACTTATATCAGGTATTTTTTAATTTATTTTTTCTGTACCCCGTGACATCCTACAGCAGATTCTCTCCTCTGGTGGCACAGTTTCATGAAGCTATAAAATTCAAATAAATACCTCTAGACATTCCCAACGAAATTATTGATAACATGACCGAAGTTGGGCAGGAGAACCTCTACTTCAACATGGAATACAGCTGGAGCCTGCGACAATTTTAGGGTTAGAAATGAAGCTCCTTTGGCAATGCCAGAATCGGAGAGCACATGTGGTAAAGTTTCGCTGTCTTTCCGTTGCTGTGACTGTCATTGCTGCCGCTTCCTTCCTGACAACTGCTGCCACCTTGGTCTTAGAGATGATGCTGGAACGAAGCAATCCTTCGACAACTTAACACTCCATAGTGCATTTGTGTGTCAAGTGAAAATTAAAAGTGGACATCCTAAAAATGGAAATTATTAATATTATTGCTAATTAGTCCCATATGAACATAAAAATAAGGATCTTCTGGTTTTCTCTCCGATATTCCTGAGTCGATTTGGAGATAGACATCTGCGCGTGATTTTTCTCTTTCTTCCGGGAAATCAAATTCAGGAAAAGGCGCGAGACATCTATCCCAGTGTAAATCACTTGAGTTCAGAAATGGTCACTTTTCTCACTTGATTTCCCTTAAAAATTATTTTTATCACAAGGGTCTAAGATGAACCTTTCTCCTTGTAGATCGAGGAATAACAAATTTTATTGAATCAAAGCGTTTTTTCTAAGTGCCAAATCGAAATTATACCCTGATAAGGATTTGGGTTGTGTAAGTGTCGTCAGTGAATAAATCATATTTTACCATAAATGTAAAAATTCTCGTGCGCCTTTTGTTGATGAATAAGATTAAAGTTTCTCTTGTTTTGTTTGGAAGAGGTACGAGATCGATCTCGCGTTCAGAGTAATATTTAACGTGAGTAAGTATTAAGGAAAATATGTGATCAGACATGTTTTGAGCAGGAGTCACGAGACACATGAAAGCTGTATTTTCTTTGTCATATTAATTACATCCTGTAGACTGAAAAAAAATACAGTTATGTATCTTCTCTGTCGCAAGATTGCAAATCGTGATGATCAAAGCCATTCTTAAATACGTTATCGGAACAAGGTCATAAATAACAACACGGAAATTAGACTAGAAAACAAAGATGGAGATGGAAAAACAAACAAGAAAAAGGAAACTGGAACCCACGAGGATGTATCCTTAATAAAGATCAATTCCACTTTTGTTCAAACACGGATCTGGAGAAAATTCTTGACCAGTATTACCTATTCCAGATAAGTGTTTCTCCTTGAAAAACATCTCTAACATTAATGAAAATGACTTGAACTATTTACATTTTAAACACCAAAGCTATGCGCTCCGACTGATGAAAGGAGTACCTCAAAGGTCAGGAAACGTAGAAACATAAAACCAATTCCTTTTCATCAAGGTATTCTGGCGGCAAAGTCTCACGAGGATTAATACTAAAGTTTCTTTAGACACCACTCAGGTCGCCTTCTTAAATGACTTATATTTCACATGATTCGGCCTGGAGGACATACGTGATCGGACATGTTTTAAGCACGAATCACGAGGCTGTTTAGTACGGTGTGGTCTAAACATTACAGCTATCTTTTCTTGGTCACTGTACTGGCTATCGTAAGATTGGACACCTTCGTGATCGTAAAAGTTCGAGGATAATCTCTCTCCAAAAGATTCATACACAATGAGCGAGCTTACGAATAACAAAACCAAAATTGGACAGGAAAATGTTTATTACGAGATGGAATACAAAGGAGAAAACGAAGATGGAACCTATGAAAAAGTTATTGTTAAAAATGAAAGTCCCCAGGAACGACCAAGAGAGAGAGCACAACCGTATAAAGATCCAGAAGAAGTAAAATCTCGCTATTTCCTTGTTGTTGTGACTGCCATTGCTATTGCTTCCCTCTTGACAGCCGCTGCCACCATGGTTTTAGCCTTTGCAATGACCAATTCACGAAGCGATGTTTCGACAACTAGAGAGTCTTGCTGCGGTAAGCAAAAAATCATACTAATCATTTCGAAGTGGATGGAGTCCATGTACCATGATAATGCGATGTCATTCTCGAAAAACATTAATTTCCCGAAACACTCTTTAGTTCATAGGGTATTTAAATATAAAAGCTTCCGGTTGCCTAGGCGACTTTAGAGTCAACGAAGTGATCAAACTCAAAAGATTCTTTTGTATGCCAAGTCTCCTTGAGTTGAAATGTGGTTATTTTTATAAAATGTTGTCTTTCAGGGCCTCCATATATTTTGTGTAATTCAGAAAACAGAGCATATAAGGCATATGTCCCTAGAACTGAAGTGCGCTGACGATTTTAATTGACGTCGAATCAAGCCACGTAAGGGAAGGGCATAGGGTAAAATATGGACTGGACTATTTTTTTTGGACCATTTTATAGGGGCGGGGGAAGCACACCACTAGTTCTCAGGGAGGGGTGGGATGCAGTCTATATCAGCACTAAGGGAGGGTGGGAGGCAGAGTGTTATTACGCAGGGAGGGGTGAGAGACGAACTTTACTACGCAGGGAGGGGTGAGAATAGTAAACACTACTGGTTAATGGAGCTTTTACTCGATCGTACAAATTATTTTAATCGGTTTTTTGAATGACTTTTTGTATGACAAAATTTTAGCACTGGGCCGCGGCGTTTCTTCATTTTTTTGTCATGCGAAAGCGAAACTGCCAAGTAAACACTGGACTTTAATTTTTATTGAAAATATCGTGTTTACGATCCTCAGTCCAACTTTTGCACCATCAGTTGCTTCACGTTTCCCTTTGTGTATACAGTATGTAATTACTAAATTTATTTATCTTCCTTTTGTCATGGATCTTATCAAACGAGATCACGGAATTTCCGGTTCTTTGCCCTTAACTTAGTTGCATATAGAATTCACAAGTGTTATCGCAATTTTAAGGCTGATACCTTTACTGTATAAGATCATCAGTCAACGATCCTTGTTCTTGAACCGACCAAAAACACTGCTGTACTTGCAAAATGGGAAAGCGCAAATATCGATTTCATCCGTTTCGCAAACAAAGGAGTAAATCACCGACACCGGAAATCGCGACCAGGTATTCCTCGCGACTCCCTAGGTTTGTTTTCCAATTTGCCCGGGCCGCTGCCGATCACTTCTTGCGTAAAGCAGGTGTGACTACTGTTGCTCGCCGATATTTTCCGTCGGCAAAACGTAGAGGTTCAGTGTTCACGTGGCAGTTTCGCTTTCGCATGACAAAAAATTGAAGAAACGCCGCGGCCCAGCGCTTACAATTTTGACATACAAAAAGTCAGTCGAAAAACCAATTCAAATAGTTTGTACGATCGAGTAAAAGCTCCATTACGCAGCAGTGATTACTATCACAACCACCCCCTAAATTGTGTTGGAGACACAATTGTACTATTCACACAATACCAATTGATTTGCCAAAATTTTTGAGCTTATGATATCAATTTAAAATTATGGTATTAATTGAAAAGACTCGTTAGTCCTATTTGGCCATGTAGTCAGCAGATAATAATTTGCTCATCAATGAACCCTTTGCAACGTTTAAGTGTATAAGTAAACTCAACTATTGTAAGAGCTACGTGCTTGCAAAATTTCACTTGAGGCCAATAAACCAGGATGAAAACATCATCAGCTTTAACGTTAATTAATTAATTAATTTATTTATTTATTTATCCATTTTTCACTTCAGAAATGTCAGAAATTAACAAAAATAACTTCTCGGCTCCTAGAGAATCCTCGGTAGGAAAAAAAGTTTTTTTTATCTTTATTAACCTTGAAAATAAATTTATGGCGTTTTCAAATCTATCGGGACAACCACTTCTTTCACAAACTGTCATGTCACCATGCGTTTTTCCTTTTAAGTTTATTTCATCTTACTCTTACTTTATTTCATTTCTATTCCTTCCTTTTCCTTCCCTCCTAATTTCATTTCTGTCAAGACACTTTGACTCAAAATTATGGAGAAAATTCGTACATTTGGGAATAAACTACGTAAGAAATTATAATGTGGATGTCTTAAGATGTAAAAGAACCAAGAGTTATCCAGCTGTTTTTAGTTTTTATCGCTATCGTAAATTTTCATCATCAGCCACAACGTTATTCCCATTTCCTACTATCATTATTGTTATATTATTTATTATTTGCATCGAGCATGCCAAGAAGTGTACATGTGGCCTTGTAACATAAGAGAAACAACTAAACAACTAAACACCGAAGAGATAACTTAATCGTGAACACTGTTCAATTTTTTTGGTGCAATAGGTCTCAAAGAAGTTAAGGGAATTGGACGCTGCATTAGCTAACGTAAGTTTTCCACTGAGTGCTTGGCAACTGCTTAAATATCTTAAGACCTCTTTAAATTAAAAAAGGAACACTCTTTCTGCGTGGCTTTGAAATTGTGGGATAATTTAAAAGTTTTCATTGGTTAATCTCAGTTCTTATTTCTTTTGTAGATGAAGAAGGAGTTGGAAATTATGAAAAAAAAAGTAAGTCTGAGTCACTCTGAATTAACAGCAAAATTTCATTTGCAAATAGTTCATAATGATATCCATTGACTGATTTATTTATTGACTAAGGATTATTGTTTCTGTTGGCCTTTTTTATCATTTTTTTTATCATGATTTTTGAGTAAGGAGGGGATTCGTCTAAAGGTGCATGAGAAGAAATTTTTGAATTTTCAAAAACAAATTGTTGAACTGGAAAATAAATTATCAATCGTTAAAATTTTAGGACCGTAAGAGACCTGTGACGCTATTTCTCGAGACTGCCTAAATGGATCACCTGTTCTACTCATAGACACTGTAATTTTGTTGTTGTTGTTGTTGTTGTTGTTGTTGTTTTGTCACTGTTGCAGCTGTTTGTTTTGTTTGTTACATTCCGGTATAGACAATCATTGTCTTGAAAAGTTGATGTGTTACTCGATATCTGTTGTTAGGGGGAAAATACATCAGAATTGTGGTTCACCCTGAATGGAACTGTGTGAAGAAACCCTCGCATTTGTCCGTCTACAAAGTGTTACACACAAATATAAACAATTATTTGTTTTGTTTTATTCGATGTGTTTTTTTTAGGGCGAAAATACAGCAGAATTGTGGCTCATCCTTAATGGAACTGTAGATGAGAAGTTTTTTTATTTTCAAAAAAAAATTCTTAAACTGGATCAGAAGGTAATAAAATGAATTAAAATAATCGTTAGAATTTTAGCTCGGTAACAGATCTTTGATTTCGCTATTTCTCGAGCATCCCTAAAGGAAACACCAGTTCTAATTATAGACAGTAATTTTTGTTCTGTTGCTGTTGCATCTGTTTGTTTGTCTTTCAATTTCTTTGCAGACGTTTGCCCAAAAACCATACGTTTTTTTTTTAATTCACAAAAAATTCTAAGAATATTGAGTAGCTCCGTTGGTAAAAGCCACTCAGAGCCAACATGACTTCTAGCTAGAAAGGCAGTTGAATGTCATTAGTGGTTAGAGAACAAATAAAGTGCGATCTGAGATTATAAATTAAGGACTAAAATATTCAGAGAAGGTATGAACGCAGTGAACAAGCTTTATTCCTGAACAGGCTATTTAATTTCAGGTTGATCAGGAGTTTAAAAGAATTCGGCAAGATGTAAAGCAGACAGAAGGAAGTTTGTTGAATAAAACGAACACATCTCTGCAAGAATTCGAAAACAAGGTATAATCGGGTTAATCGTTGTTGTTACTGTTATTGTGGTTGTTGTCTTCTTTTGGAGAAAGCTGGAGAATTCCTATTAACCCTCTACCCTTGGGGCAGGTGAGTTCTATTCAGGGCCGAAATGAATAATTGATCAATCTACCCAAATCAAGTTTTTTTCTGACTGAATTTCTTGGTTTTCGCCAGATTTGACCTCTGCATGAGTCGCCAAACCCTAACGACTAAGGAAATTTTAATTTAATGCATCTTTCAGCCCAATTTTAATTCAGTTAAAAAAATTGATGACTTGAATAAATTGATATTTTGAATTGATAGGTCAACAGTGAAATTAAAGTTGTTTCACACAAGCTGAATAAAACAATTGCCCGTGGTGACTATTTATCTTCTTCATTGGAATCACTTGGGAAAAACGTAAGCATATCCGCTTGCAATATGTATATAATGAATGCCTTCATTTGATCAAATCATAACCATAAAGAGAGATTTCCTCATTTTCCAAGTGAGTACCTCTGTTGAAAATTTTGGAATTACCCTGGTTGTAAGGCTCCTATCATCCTCTCCCTATCCACCTTTTAAAATATACATTTGCATTTATTGTTCAACTTCTTTAATCTGGTATTACGTCAAAATTCTTGTATAATTATTTCATAAGATATACCTTTCCTCATTTAGGTAACGAATCGTTTTGGAAAACTTGAACTTAGAGTTAAAATGGAGGAAGAAAAGTCTAGCAACATTAAAAAAAGTTCGGTAAGTCACTAAATGCGGACGCTTTGACTTTTCACAGAATTGTAAGTGTCGGTAACATAAGTGCAAGTGCGTGCAATACCTAACACAAAGTCATCTTTTCTTCTGAAGGATCACCACTCCGAGTTGATCCAGTACTTGACTAATATGCTGAATGACACTCGGGAGGATATGAGGAATATGTCTCGAGAACAATCCACGGCTTTGGAACTAACTCAAAATTCCACAGTTACGGAACTTCTAAGAGTTCGGATGTTGGTGAACTCAGCGCAGACGATTCTCTTGACACAGTTTAAGAAAATGCATGAAAACATGACTGAAAAGGTGCCTTGTTTTCTATTGCTTGTTCTACGGTTTTAGATCATAGGCCATCATATGACATAGCTTACCAGGAGTCCATTGGGCTCCTGAGCTTACTTATTAATCCTACTGAAGCAGCCTGCTTTTTCAATTTTTTTATAAGCATAACATTCAGCGAGACTAAAAGAGGAAATAACAATTAAAAAAACAACTCAGTCGCCTTGGCATCGCCTTAGGCCAGCAAATTAGCCAATCAGCATAAAATTATCTGCTTAATTTACGTATGCGCCCAACGTTGGCCAAGAACCGTTTCATGGTCCTGGATCCGCAAAGTATGTCGTAGCTGTGTTACTTAGGGAGCCCATAATTTTTAGTTTTCACCCAATGGCAGCCACTTTTTTTATTCAGTTCTTTCGTTGTTTACTTATTTTTTCACTCATATGAAACCTTCTTTTTTTAAAAACTCAGGTAACAAAGGAAAGTGAGAAACTTGATACCAGAATAAAAGTTGAGGAAAACAAATCAAATACCACAAAGCAGGTCACGGTAAATAGTTAATATCTTCATTTTTTTCATAGTGTTTTCCCAGTTTTGAAAAAGGTAAAAAGACCATTTGTTGTGTACAAGAGTCAAAAAAATGTGCACCTGAAAGGTTTTTTTCGTCATAAGCGTTCTTTTTTTTATTTTCCGAAGGATCAACACCTCAAGAGGATCCAGCAAATAGAGGAATTGATCAACATTACTCGTAAAAAAATGAAAGAAGAATCAAAAAGGTATTTGACCGCGCTATGGTTGGCAGGAAACTCTACAAAAACGGATCTTCAAAGTATACGCATGGTTTTGAATGCAACGCGTGGTAATATTGTTAGACAGCTAAAGGAAGTGCAAGACAACTTGACTAAACAGGTACATTATCTGTGATACTTTTATTTAAGACTGATTGAACCTCCCTTTGACCACTCCACGTGAGGGTTATTATACACAGTATTATTCTAAGATTATTGACATTTCAAACTTAGGTTGCTCTACACAGGAATTAACGAGGAAGAAAGACTTTATCACTCAGCACACACATGTCCCGAAAAAGACCAGAAGTGCTGTTATAGTAGAGAGAGAAACACAACTATAACAAATACGAAGGTCTCCGTTTCGTCCACAAGAGCTTGGCTCAGCCCCCTTCTCCAAAAGGAGAGTGTGTCAATCAGATTGGATTAATCAATAAATCAAACAAGGAATGTCCATTACTATGATCAGAAAGATGTAATAAACAACTTTCCCAAGCGTGGAGTAAAAAAGAACTTTTCGTGAGAGTTCGAGCCACGAACCTTGCCCTAACAAGATGCTCTACCAAATGAACTATAGAGAAGGGATTTTTGATCAGGTCATATGCTGATTTTACGCGTAACAGGCACCTTGTGTTCTGCTGAGATCAACATGGACGACAGCATTATGTAAGAGAATAAATGAAAAAAATGAGTGCACCGTAAATCTTCAAATGTCATAAAAAAGAAATGAATATTGCTAAATTTGATTGCTTCGGTGCCTTGATCGACCAAGAGGATACCTTTCATGGGTTAATTTATTTCAAGTTACTCCGGTTGATAGCACGAACTGTTCGCAACACATCCAGTCAAGCAGTTCTTTTCGGTTCTATACAGTAATTGTTGCTTAAGAATAAATCAAATGGTTTTAATGTATGTGTATATAAATGGTTCTTTATTCATCAACTATTCATTTATCATTTATTGAGGAGACTTTGGTGAAAAAGCGCAAAAAGGGTGAATATAGATTTACGTATTATTTTTCCTTCTTAGGTCAAGAACGTTAGTAAGATGCCGGGTCCTAGCGGACCTCCTGGCTACAACGGAAGTCAGGGACCTGTTGGCCCTCAGGGAGCCCTGGGTCCTGCTGGTCCTAAAGGATCAGGAGACTTTAGTCAATGTCAATATAAAAATACAAGTACAGTTGCGATTCCTGGTAGCAAGAATAGGATACTTGTACATATTAATCAGCCAACAGTAAGTTTACTTACTCTCATACTTTACATACAAAAATAATAAATAAATAAAAACAAACAAAAAAAACAAACAAAAACGAACATATAAATCAACAGATAAAGAAGGATTTCTAAATGTAAGCTGTCTTTGCCCCTTTGACATTTCTTATAAACTAAGACTAAGACTTCAGTTGCTGAGGGACTTAAACCTAATTTTTCTGAATCAAGCTCAGTCAAGAGGATATTGAATGATCTTGTACAATTGCTTTTGTGAGGTGAAAAAACTCACAAGAGTAATGCAATGCCTGGCCTTTCTTACCTTAGAAATTATAGTTTTAATGCACCCGTACTTTCGCATCCAGTCGGCCTAGTGTACTTTAAAAAAAGTGCATATATGTATATGTATTTAATGCATTTTTAGAATAATACAGGAAACATTTCGAAAAGGTTTGTTTTGATCGAGCGCTGTTCACTCGACCAAATGCACAATCGTATTCATAGGGTTTGAATGGATTTTGCGTGATTCACGCGCTTTGCCTCTACAAAATTAAAAAGCTAACTCATCTTTTCTTTGTGTATATTATAAATTGTGATTTCATGATTTTTCTTGTGCAAATTTGGAATGAACAAGCACCGTATGTTGGTTTATGGAAAATAAGCTTATTCAAACCAAAAGACACTCGTAACGATGTGATTGCCAGTATAGATAACATAACAAATGTGTATTCCTTTATTTGTTGACAGAATAAAAAGATAATGGCAGTGACATGCTCAACGGATTACGGCTCTGAGTATAATCTTATATCGACGGTGCAAAGAGGCGTCCTGAGATACGTTTGCATCTGTCAAGGAAAATCCACATTTTTCAATGGAGGAACTAGTTGCTACCTGCACTATTGGATTTGCCCTTTAACAACGTAGTCACTGTAACCTTAAAGATATCGTCTATTTCAATATAAATATGTTTTTCAGTTATTCAGAGCGGCTGGATAATGCTAAGAGAATAATCACTTAATAAGATTGAATATGTAGCAAGAACTAATTGAGTAAATCCCCATGTTGTTTATGGTAAAGTAAAGAGGACAAAGTAATGAATTTATTTCCACATTTGGTCAACTGTGCACTAAGGTACATCATCTGTGGACAAAAAAAGTGTTCTTTGTGGTGAAATAAGAATTAGAAGTGAACAAAAGTGAAGTGAATCCAATAAAATGCATGCTTTTAAATTGATTGTCTGTAGGTATTAAACGACTATTACGTGTCTGCAAGTATGACGTCATAAATTACGCGACTGGAGACTATTGTCTGTAGTCATGACGTAACGATTAGTGCCATTAACTAGCAGCATTGAGGATACAGTTAATGAGAATTGGGACAGTGACACTAAAATAACAATTAAGAGATTTTTATTGAGTCATAATTGATTTGGGAGGAGCCCGAATCAACCATCACCCATTGGAATCGAGAGCGATTATAACTGTTTCTGTATTAATCTACTTGTAGTTCGGGTTACAACAATACAGGCTCGTGTTTTCATGTCTTTTGTGTGTACAACACACACTGTTAGGGTTCCGTACCGTACTCACCAACTACCACGGAATAGATAGCAAGAAGCATGGCCAAGCAGATTTCAGCATTTGTTAAAGGGCGTTAATAGATTTCGACATATACATCAATACACACAATATATGTACATTACATATAGTTGTTGTTGCAAAGGTTTTAGACATAAAATTGGCTGTCGATAAAAAAAAATTTCTGTGATTCAATTTGTATGTCATGTGTTTGTATACTTTCTTTGGTGGTTAATTCTTAAAAGGTAGTCTTAAGTCTTAGACACTTTGAATAGCACAAAAAAATGGATCAGAAAAATTTGGTTCTGAAGCGCAGCTCTTTCTGGTACTGAACGTATCACACCTAAAGATAAAGAAAATATTACCGATCCTACCATTGCTTCATATGACCTCTTTTTTGGCCTAGACGCTAGGGCAAAATGATTAGTTTCTGATTTTTTACACCTTGAAAAAAGAAAATTCACGGCCGCTTCTTGATAAATAAGGGTTCCTTCTTGAAGACGAGTTGTCGAGTCCTCTGTATTCTAACTATTACACAAAAACCCGGAGAACAAAAGAAACAACAAAATCACACTAACAACCCGAATTTTGCATATCATTTTTGTTTAAAAAGAGGAAATCACACCGAAATGATATATAGAGGAAAAGTTTCTCCCTGTAACTAGCCCCTATCCTTCCACCCCGCATCCTCCACGTTTCAAAACGCTTTGCAGCCCCTGGATTAGGATTAAAGTTCTCTTATACAATTTCCACAATTGTAACAGTTTTGTTGTTGGCATTGGTGTTGTTGTTGTTGTTGATGTTGTTTTAGCGTCAATGAAAAAGAAACCTATGGGTTACGATTCACCTTTTAATGGCGAATCGTAAGCCAGAGATGGCTTCAAGAAGAGCCAGAGACCTCCTGTAATTTGCTCCACAACCTAGATAATGAATTATCGCAAAGGCTAATCCTAATCACACACGTGGTGACCGAGATAACAGTAACCTTGAAATTCAAGGATGATCTAAGTAAAGAACAAAGAAGAAAAAAGAAAGGAAATCAAAGCAAAACTAAGTTTTAGTTTACGCAATGATTTAAAATGATTTCCATTTTTTATTCCAAAATGTCAGGAGGTTTGGATAATACCTCCCATCAGCAGTAGTAACACTTGGATGAAAGCGTGAAAATCTATCAAAATATAAAATACTGATGTTCGTGTGACGTAAACAAAGTTTACTCGTTCTTTAACCCATTAACCCTAAGAGTGACTGGCACCTAATTTCTCCTCACAAGATCACCCTTGAATAAAACATTAAGGTCATGAGAATAAGGGAAATGATCAGCAACTAAAGAAGCTCTTGATTGTTAAATAAATTCTCCTTTACAGAACCTCAAGAAATGTACAGAGGAAGTATGGAGAATGTGCATACTGATCTAAGGGTGTAAAGGGTTAATGAAACCGCTTCCTAAACAATCATTACCAGCAATCCGAGACATTTTACTCCCGCGGTCCGCGAGGTCAGTAGTTTCTTCAGGTTCTACTGTTCATGCGCTATGGCGTCAGATTTCATGTAAACATGGAGCGAAGTAGATTTCCGCTTTAGTTTTGTTTTTTATAATTGGCGCGATTTGGCGCTTGTAGGAGTCTGCAGATTGTTAAAACAGCGGTAAAAAGCGTGGAAATGCTAGGCTGCTAAGCTGAAGTAAATATGGCGACTTTTTTCACGAAGAAAACGATGGAAAGTGGTCGTTCTTCGCGTCCTACAGGACATTCGCGAGCTCAGGTAAAGGTTACGTCTAATAGTGAAAAAGCCCTATTTTCAAGATTGATTTGCGGCCTCCTATTTTATCATGGAAGGCTTTATTTAACGTATTTGAAAGATCGTAAACTGAAGAAAATTTTGAGGGGTCGGCACCGATGAAAGCATGAAACACACGGACAGCTCAAAGCATGGAAGTGAAGGTAAGTGAAGGTATTTGGATGAAACTATAAAGGAAGTACAACCGAAGATCTTTGTTATTTTACCTCTATTCCGCGGCTCGACGAATAAACGAAACGGTGAAAAAACTTTCGCTTCGTAGTGCAGTTGCATATTATTTATCAACGAGAGGTCGGCACGTAGAATTTAATTTATTTAAACTGCCAAAAAATAAGATTTTATTTCAGATCCCATACATTTCTTTGTATCTTCGGGAAGCCATTTTGAAAGTAATCTTTGATTGACGTACGGTATTTGAGACGCAATATGACTCGCATTGCTGGTAATGCCTCAATTTAGCTGGACCTTTAATATGAACATTTATTTTTGTGAACAATGTAAAGAGGGGCGAAAGCCAACCGTGGCGGAACATTCATTTAGTCAAATCAACCATCTTCTAGAGAAATCCTAAGGCCCACTGATTGCTTATAACCGTGCTTTGGGTTAGACCTGATATATGAATAACCTGCGCGGTAGGTTTTCACAGAGGTGAGACGAAACGTTTGCTTTAAATTGTTTCTTCAGGAGGCGAAACGTTCTGTTAAAAGTATGGATGGAATAAAGAGATTTATCACCAACATTTCGCAGTCATCATTTATTTACATCGATTTCCCTCATTAATGTTTCTTTAGGAAACTAATAAAAGTGTCGAGAACATTTATATTTCGAGACTACAAACTGCAAATTTGGAATCACACTTTGAAATTTTTCTATTGATATTTGACCAACTATGCACACATTTATTTGTTATTTTATATTGTCTCTGCATTTCTTTGTCTGTTCATTGTCACTTCGGTCTCAATTTAATCTCCTTTGGACCAACTGCCTGCTTATGAAGCAAGATTCAAATACATAGATATCATCCGGGATGGATTCCAAGATATCGACCACAAAATTGCACACCAGATAAAGTACCTCTCAGTTTCACCGATTCCTATTTTTCTGTCTTTTTTGCATCTTCCCTACACAATTGTACAAAATGAAGCCGAGTAGATTTAAATATACAAATTATATCCAAGTAAAAATATGTGCAGCGCCGAAGTTTCAGAAATGAAGGTAATTATGTTGTTAAAGGGCAAATCCAATAGTGCAGGTAGCAACTAGTTCCTCCACTGAAATATCTGGATTTTCCATCACAGATGCAAATATATCTCAGGACGCCTCTTTGTATCGTTGTTAAAAGATTATACTCAATGCCGTGATTTGTTGAGCATGTAACTGCCATTATCCTTTTATTCTGTCAAAAATAAAGAAATACACATTTGTTATGTTATCTATACTGGCAATCACATCGTTACCAGTGTCTTTTGGTTTGGATAAGCTCAAGTAATTTTCCATAAACCAACATGCATTGCTTGTTCATTCCAAATTTGCACAAAAAAAATCATGAGATCACAATTAATAATATAAATAAAGAAAAGATTAGTTAGCTTTTCAATTTTATAGAGGCAAAGCCCGTGAATGGCGCAAAATCCATTCAAACCCTGCGAAGACGATTGTGCATTTGGTCGAGCAAACAGCGTTCAATCAAAACAAACCTTTTCCAAATGTTGCCTGTATTATTCCAAAAATGCATTTAAATTACACTAAAGTACACTAGGCCGACTGGATGCGAAAGTAGGGGTGCATTAAAACTATAATTTCTGAGGTAAGAGAGGCCAGGCACTACATTACTCTTGTGAGTTTTTCCACCTCACAAAAGCAATAGTACAAGATCATTCAACTTCCTCTTGACTGAGCTTGATTCAGAAAAATTAGGTTTAAGTCCCCCAGTAACTGATGTCTTAGTCTTAGATTCTAAGAAATGCCAAAGGGGTAAAGACAGCTTACATTTAGAAATCTTTCTTTATCTGTTGATTTATATATTGGTGTTGTTTTTTTTTTTTGGTTCTTAAATTTATTTATTATTTTTTATGTAAAGTATGAAAGTAAGTAAACTTACTGTTGGCTCATTAATAACTACACTTATCCTATTCGAGCCACCAGGAATCGGATCTTCACTTTCATTTTTATACTGACATTGACTAAAGTCTCCTGATCCTTTAGGACCAGCAGGACCCAGGGCTCCCTGGGGGCCAACAGGTCCCTGACTTCCGTTGTAGCCAGGAGGTCCGATAGGACCCGGCATCTTACTAACGTTCTTTACCTAAGAAGGAAAATAACACATTGCATCTAAATTCACCCTTTTTCCTTTTTTTTACTTCGTCAAAGTCTCGTCAATAAATAATAATTGTATAGTTTATGAATACAGAGCCATTTATTGATTCCTAAGCAACAATTGCTGTATAGAACCGAAAATTTATGCTAACAAACGGAGAAACTTGAAATAAATTGACCTATAAAAGGCATCCCCTCGGTCGATCAAGTCACTGACATTTGGAGATTTATGTTGCACTCATTTTTGTCATTTATTCTCTAACATAGTTCCGTCGTCATTGTTGATCTCAGCAGAACAAAAGGTGCTTGTTACGCATAAAATCAGCATATGACCGGATCAAAACCACTTCAGGATTTTGTAAGGCCAAGGTTCGTGGCTCGAATGCCCACGAAGAGTTACTCCACGCTTGGGAAAAACTATTTATAACACCTTTCTGATCATAATAATGAATATTCTTAATTTGAATTTTGATCAATCCTATCTGGTTGACACACTGTGTTTTGGGGGAAGGGGTCTAGGCCAAGCTCCTGTAGACGTAACAAAGATTTTTGCATAAGTTATGATCGTGTTTCCCCCTTTATTATAACATTACTTATGGCCTTTTTCGAGGAATGTGTGTGCTTGGTGATGAAGCCGTTTTTCCTCGCTAATTTATGTGAAGAGTAACCTTAGCTTGATGATGTTTTCTGAATCAATAATTTTAGAGTAATACTGTGAGTAATAACACTCACATCGAGTGGTCAGTGCGAGGTTCATTCAGTCTTAAAGTAACACAGAAAGTGTACCTGTTCAGTGAAGTTGTTTTGCACTTCTTTTAGCTGTCTTACAATATTACCACGCGTTACATTCAAAACCACGCGTATACTTCGAAGATCCATTTTGGTAGAGTTTCCTACCAACCATAGCGCGGTAAAATGCTTTTTGGATTCTTCTTTAATGTTGTCACGTGTAATGTTGACCAATTCCTCGATTTGCTGAATCTTCTTTAGGTGTTGATCCTTTGGAAAATGAAAAATGATGTTTGTGGCGAAAAAAATATTTAATTCTTACAAATTAACAATACTTTTTTTACCTTTTTCAAAACTGGGAAACACTATGGAAAAAAAATGAAGATATTCATTACTTACCGTGACATGCCTTAAGTTATTTGATTTGCTTTCCACAATTTCTATTCTGGCCTTAAGTTTCTCAGTTTCCTTTGTTACCTGAGTTTTTAAAAATAAAGGTTTCCCATAAGGTTTCGTATGAGTGAATAAATAAATAAATAAATAGTTAAAGACATGAATAGCAAAAGGGGCTGTCATTGGGTAAAATTGTTTGTGTTCAATCGACTAATTTGCTCACATAGTTTGAGTAATGGATTTGAGAATTGAGCAATCACGGATTAATGTAATGAATATTGAACGCTTAAGCTAAAACCAAAACCAAACTAGAAATTAGGGGCTCCCTAAGTGACGCAACAATGACATACTTTGGAGATCTAAGAGCATAAAACCTGTTAATGGCAACAATGGGTGGTGGCAACATTGGGCACATAAGTAAATTGAGAAGATCATTTTATGTTGACTGGCTGATTTGCTGACCTAAGGCGATGCCGAGGCAACTTTTTTTTTTTTTCGAATTGTTATTTTTCTCTTTTAGTCTCGCTGAACGTTATTCTAGAAAAAAAAGTTGAAAAAGCAGGGTGTTTCAGTAGGAGTACGTGATAAGTAAGCTCAGGAGCCCAATGGACTCCTGTAAGCTATGTCATATGATGGCCTATGATGTTAAACCGTAGAATAAGCAATAGAAAATAAGGCACCTTTTCAGTCATGTTTTCGTGCACTTTCTTTAACTGTGTCATGATAATCGTCTGCGTTGAGTTCACCAACATCCGAACTCTTAGAAGTTCCGTAACTGTGGAATTTTGAGCTTGTTCCAAAGCCGTAGATTGTTCTCGAGACATATTCCTCATATCTTCCCGAGTGTCATTCAGCATATTGGTCAAATGCTTGATCAACTTGAAGTGGTGATCCTTCAGAATAAAATATGATTTTGTGTTAGGTGTTGCACACACTTGCACTCATGTTACCGACACTTGCAATTGACGTGTGAAAAGTCAAAGTGTTCGCATTTGGTGACTTACCGAACTTTTTGTGATGTTGTTAGATTTTTCTTCCTCCATTTTAACTCTAAGTTCAAGTTTTCCAAAACTATTTGTTACCTAAATGAGGAAATGATATGCTATTAAATATTTATACAAGAATTTGGCGTAATAGCAGATTAGTGAGGTTCAACAGATATATATTTTCAAAGGTAGCGAGGGAGAGCTGGATAAGAGCCTTATAACCAATGTAATCCCGAAATTTTCAACAGAGGGAATCGTTAGGAAAATGGGGAAATGTCTCTTTATGATTATTATTGTACAAATGAAGGCATTCATTATATACATATTGCAAGGGCATAAACTTACGTTTTTCCTTTGTGATTCCAGTGAAGAAGATAAATAGTCAGCACGGGCAATTGTTTCATTCAGCTTGAGTGAAACAACTCTAATTTCACTGTTGACCTATCAATTTAAAATATCAATTTACTGAAGTCATCAAAATATTTCTTAATTGAATTAAAATTGGGCTGAAAGACGCATTGAATTATTGATGCATTAGACATGAGGGTTTGGCGACTCATACAAGAAGTCAGATCAGGCGAAAACCAAAATGTTTAGTCAAAAAAAAAAAACTTGATTTGGGTAGACTTATCAATTATTCATTTCGGCCCTGAATAGAACACACCTGCTCCAAGGGTAGAGGGTAAAGAGGAATGCTTGCGGTTTTCTCTAAGAGAAAACAACAACCACAATAACGATTCATCGGATTATTACCTTATTTTCGAAATCTTGCAAAGATGAGTTCGTTTTATTCAACAAACTTCCTTCTGTCTGCTTTACATCTTGCCGCATACGTTTAAACTTCATATCGACCTGAAAGGAAATGACTTTCTCAGCAATAAAGCTTGCACACTACTTTCATACCTTCTCTGAATATTTTAGTCCCTACAATTTAAAATCTCAGATAGCACTTTGTTAATTATTTCAATGGGTGAATGTTCTCTGACCACCACTGATATCCAACTGTCTTCATGTTCTAGCTAGAAGTCATGTTGGCTCCGAGTCGCTGCAATAATTTTTTTTTCATAAATTATGATTGCAGAGATTTATACATTGATAAAATGCATTTTTGTTTCACGTAATCGATAAAAAAAAACTTTGAATCATCAAGGTATTGGTTAACACTTTTTTTATGACCAACAGGCAACATAAGGTACTGTTAACTGTTATGGGCGAAACTGTGTTTTAAAGAATGTGTTACTTTCTAGGTTCAGTAGTGGCAAAGTTGTATGTGTTACCTTCTTGGCAAAGTCATCTTTTTCTTGTTTTGAAGTATTAACCACATTCCAGACTTGTTTAAACTCCATCATATTAGTTGTTGTAGAGGAATTTAAATTTTCTAACACAGCAGCTTGTCCAGCAATTTGAGCTCGAATAGACTCCAGGTCCTTTGAAATATTTTTAATACTGTAATCCTAACGTCAGGGAGGTAAAAACAGCTCTATATGAGATACTTAAGTCATTTATGTTTTAATGGAACACTTGCCAAATCACAATGTTAAAAGGAAATAAGGTTTTAAGTTTATTCTAGATTGGTTGATATTGAACAATATTTACAATACTACTTTGATATATATACATATACCCTGACGCAGTAAGCATGTACTCATTTACTTCATATACACATCACCATAAGCAAATAACATAGAAAAGAACAACTGAAAAAAACAAAACAAACAACGAACAACGGCAACAAAAGCAAGAAAAGACAAATGACCGCAGCGGCAGAATACCGTGGTCGAAAGGTTTTTCAGTACTTTGTTAAGGTCCGCATATTTCTCTCGTTAGCTCTTTTACCTTGCACCCTAAATTTCTCATATTTTAAATTTTCGATTACCTGAGAGGAGACTTCCTCGTGTAGTTTGGAAGCATTATGTCCCAATCGCATCGTCTCCAAGGTTATGTTTCGGAGAAGCTGTAGAATAATGTGAAACATAAGAACTCTGCAGTATGATGGAATACACATGCATTATATCGAACGCGTAACAATTTTTTTGTACCTCAGATACATTTTCCTTCATCTCCGCCTGTGGAAATGTAGAAGAAATACATCAGACTGGTCTCATCGTAATCTTTGGCAAAAGAGAAATATCTTCAGGTTTTAGAGCCCATTCACTACACCTACTACAGTCTAGCTATGTAGGTCACGTCTATTCGACTATTAAACTCTGAAAATGGCCCCTACATTGGATGAATTGGTGGTAAGGTAAGATTTCATTTGTTTCCTGAATTACGACTTGCTGTCTTGCTCAAGAAGATAGGGCATTCAAACGGTTTAAACGACCAACTTGTGCACACGAACTCAAAGCTATAGCCACTGTAGTAAGATTTTCAATTGAGCTTCGAGTATAACGTGTGACTGTATTGGCTAATCGTAACCAGCATAAATATACACTCAGCTATTCAGGAACTAATCTGAATTTCACTGCGCCCTTGTTATATATTCATTCTCGTTGTGATCACTACACTTACTACTTTGACGACACGCAATTGTAAAGCGCTTAACTTCAAAAATGGTATTACACTCGATTTCGTAACTCTTGCCCACGGTTAATTGCATGGTATAATAATATTATGGTCAATATTAGCGAGAAAAATGCTTTAGTATAGAACCCAACTATTACCATCTTTAATGAAAATATCAATGTATAAAGGCATCACCATTTGTTCGTTCAGCGAAGATATATTTGTAGATAACTTCTCCGACTGTTCATCATTTGCCTCCAAAGTGCTTGTTCTGCCAGGCCCTAAATGGTAAGAAAGTATGGCAAAAAAAATTAGGCAGTTACTTCTAAAAGATGGCGAATTTTTTCTCTTTAATATTTCATAATCAGCTGTCTTCACAGAAAAAATAATTTAATTGTTCTTAACCATTTTAACCAAAGCCAATAAGCGCATATAAAACAATAGATAGATGAAAAAAAAAAGTACAATAAGATTATGAAAAATATTAAATTTAAGACTTCTTCACATTAGAACACGTTAACATAAGTGATTTTATTCTTTGGGCCCTCCAAATTAATTTGCTTTGTGAAGTCACCTCTTTCTTGTCAATCGTCAATACTTTTTGCATGCAGACGGGTTTAAATAAATGTTTGGGACTACAACTGGGCTAATAAGAGCTAAACCGATTATTTACCACCGTAACTTGAAGGCCTTGAACAGTCTTTGAATATGTTTGAACTCGTGTTCATTAGCACTTTTTCACGGACAGACCCATGTGGTGTTTTATGATACTTCATTCATATCTTTAACAACTAGAACGATTAAAAGCCATCATCTAATGTTTTGCCTACTACTAAATAATGGGTATTCATTTGCTCTACAGTATTTTTAAATGACCTCAAGAATATTAGTTTCCAGTGACAAATTGTTTTCGGAGATTATCTTTCTTTTGTCCTCTACAGTTTTGCAGAATTCAATTTGATCCAAATCGACTTTGCAACAAGTCGTTGAGACCTTAAGGGGAGCAAACGGTTTTACAATTAGCCGTGATACGGTATATGACAACGAAAGACTTAAACAAGTTCTGTTTGAAAAGTTCAGAAGGTAGTCTACAGTCGGTCATTTTTGGCAATATGCCCAGGACTACATCCTTTTTTCATTATAATTCCAATGTGATGATCACATTTTTTGATGAATGATGACACCAAAGCATTACAATTAAAAAAATAAAATAAAAAACTTCAGGATTAATTATGTCCTAGAACCTCCCATATTGCTTACAAATCTTTTGAACTGGTCAGATCACCTACATTTGAAAATCCCCATTAAAAATCAATCCCAATGTTTATTCAGAGAGATCTGCACTAAAGACTTCTAAATCACCGACACTTACCCCATATAAGAGTTTATCAAACAAATACACCTGCGATGTCACATTGACTTAAACTGTTTAGATTTTAAAAATCTTCTAGCTTTGCGCTCCCACTGACGGAAAGAGTGCCCTAAGGGTCAGAATAACTCAGAAACTTAACACCGATTCCTGTTCAAGAAAGGTCACAAGTTGAGTCGTCAAGGCATGAGGGAAACGAATTCTCAAGGAGATTGATTTTACCCAGAGGCTAAATATCTGTCTTCTAGCTTCCTTTAATTTCACGTTCTGCAATTACAAATATTTCACGTGATACAATAATGAGGGAAAAATGTGATTTGACGTGTTTTGAACATGATTCATGAGGTTTATTTAGCCACTGTGGTCTAATGGTTAACATGGAAAAGTACGCAACTGGGAATCTTTATCATGCATTTACTGTTCATTGACGGTTAGGCAATGGTAACATTAAGCGATTTTTCTCAAACAGCTGTTTAATAAACGAAAATTGCGTCTTTGTCCTTGGACCTAAACAAGTGATTCCGCACACTCGCAATTGATATCCCTTGTAGAGATAACAACGCAATGAATTATATACCCATTGTTACAGACGCTGCCCCTAAGTAGATTTATTTTAAGCCTCTAGTTGTACCTGGCACCTCGAGATACCCTCATAAGGATTGCTATTATTTGTTTTCAATCAAGACAAAAAAACAAGCAATTGCCGAAAGGGTGCAATTACATTCACATGGTTAACTCTGATTAAGTTGATCGAGGCAGATGATTACTTGCCATCAAGATAAACTAGGTTGATCGAATCCAAATGCAAACGCCGCTTGGAAAGCGGTCACTGGACTTGTTAACCTGTATAAAAATCCCTTTGTTATAAACCTGCCAAAGATCTCATCCTATATGACTACACTTCACCCATACTTAACTCTGGCTTTCTTAAATTGAGCGCCGGGATTTAATTTTATTTCTTCGCTAAAATCCTCTAATCCCGGACACCCCCGAGTGCTTTGTGCGGCTTTCAAGACATATTCCACAGTTCAAGAAAGTGAGAGATGTTCACTGAACTGTTTCTAATGCCGCAAGGGAGTAGATAGGGTACCGGAACAGTTCAAGACTGGTGCTGCGTTTTACATTATGTTGTGATATTCTATATTTTAATTGGTTATCAAACTAATAGCAAGGTATCAGAGGAAAAAAATAAAGTGCAGAGTACATTAAACACATGCAGAGGTACTTTTGCTGCTGTGGGCGTTTACAAAACCGAAAATTTCGCTGAAGCTTTGTGTTTATCGCGGATAGGCCTACTTTGTTGGTTGGAAATCAGAGGAAAAAATAAAGTGCAGTGCACAGTAAACGCATGCAGGTATTTTTGCGGCTGTGGGCGTTTATAGAACTGAAAATTTCACTGAAGCTTTGTGATTATCGTGGTTAGCCCTACTTCGTTGGTTACAGTTATTATCTGTGTCGGAAATGCCTTGCCCCTTTTTTTGCGTGTCTGAGATACTAGTGCAATTCAAAAGGTATGTTCAGTGTTAGAGCTGAACAGTGGTGGCAACTTCCGTTATTTTGTCTCAAATCAAAGAGGATGTCCTGTCTGCATCTGTGGTTTCCGAGTTCATAATGAGGAGGGGGGGAAACCTTTCTAAGTTACGCAGAAACTTTAATACAGGGTGAAAAATAAGCTAGAAAAGGATTACCAAAAAATGCTCGCTTGATAGCGTTATTTATTTGAAGCATTTTGATACCCAATTAAGAAATTCAAAAAGTTACTACTGCGACTTACCTTCATTGTCGCCGCAAGAACATCTTCCTGCCTCAATCGAGCCAGAGAGGATGAGAAGGGTCAAAATGAGAGACAAACATGATGTGAAACACACTAATCCTAACAGGACACTGACTGGTTTACTAAGCGTGTTTCTTTGGACAAGACTCTCTGTCTTCGTGCCTTTTACGTCCCATTCGGTTTGCCGTACCAAGTTTATGTTCTCTCGTTTAGTTACCCGGCGAGGAACGGTGTTATTTTGTGGTGCTTCCATCACAGTCGGCACCATGTCCTCTTCTGAATCTAACGGATCGTAATGTGGTTGTTTGTAGGCTGGATTTACGATCAAATTTCTTGGGAAGGATTCTCTTCGATGGGAGATCGCCGAGTTAGGTCGATGTGGAATTTTTGTCTCTTCAACAGTCCAAGCTCTGCTGGCAGGGTGGACTCTGCCGGGGCGTATATACCTTGCCATCAGCAGAATGTAACTTTTACCTAAACAACTTTTCCTCAAAAATATACTTTGGACGGAGAAGGTTGCGTAGCGATGTTTTTTTGTGGAACACGATTCCTTTTGCCTAGTCCTCGGGATTATTTTCGCGAGCGCGGCAAAACACCCTTAAGCGAACCGCGCGAAGATAATGAATCTCTGACCCAAGTACCTTTCCATCGTCAAAGAGATAACTTATTATGACATCCCGACTTTCTAAAAATGGCACCAGGTAAAAGGATTGAATTTGACAAGCTTCTCAATTGTCGCCAGAGCAGGATGAGCGGTATCAAATAGCATGCGAGATATTTACTGAAGAATTTAGTGGGAGGTCTATTTCCAATGTGACGTGTTGACTCGTAAGCGGCATGTCTCTTAGAGAGAATGGATTTTCAAACGGCTCACGCTGTTTGTTTTAACCACAATAACAACTATTACTATTTGCCCACTTGGTCAAACTTTAAACACCGGAAACACGTATCAGAATTTTGATGCATGATGAGACTTTCAGCGTTTTCGTGACGACGTGGAAAGAGCAAATTCTTAAGCGGAGTTTATCACGCACCACTTCTTGACACGTATGCAGGTGGACAAAGACCTTGTCAAGAGCGTTTTTACTTACTGACTTGACAAAGGTTTACCAAACATAAGCAAGTGGTACCCCTCTTTTAAGCCTCATGAAAGGACAAACTCAGCCTGAAAAAATCGCCTTTTTAATTGCTAGACCCAGTTATCAGACCTCCCGTATCGTGTTAAATCAAACTGTAACTGAAAAGGCAAGTGAAACTTCATCAAAATCCGTGAACTAAATAATGATTTTCATCCTATTTAAACAGTTTCTTTAGCAATATGCAATGAGCTTTATATGTAGTGTTTATAATCCTGATAAATTATCCACTGTTTGTCTTACGGATTAAGCTACAGGGAGACTAGCCGTATGACTATAAGCTACTGCGTGCCGAAAGAGCCTTCTTACGACTTGAACTAATTGCTATGTCGCACTTGAAAAATCGTTTACGTCAAAATATTGTGTGCTTTTCCTAATATTTATTTTAAAAAGCTCTAAACCGATACTTTTTTATTTTGTAATCAAAGCGGAAGATCCGTTACAGGAACTTAGTACTTTAGTCGGTATACTTTGATGAATTGACTGATTTGATATCTTGAAATCAAAGGGAAGCTTTCCCACTGTATAAGCAGCTTGGTATAAAGGGTTTACGTGCCCCTTCTTACACTGAATAAGTGCTTAGACATTCCTGCGTTTATAGGCAACATGAATGTTTATGCAAGCTCTTAGCCTTAGGGGCATGTGTGTATGACGCATTAGCAACAAGAATGGCTACGCAAAGATCAAGTACGGAAAGAGGTTCTTCGTTACGCAATGAAGAACATTTGAAGGGTTTGAACGGGGATTTGATGATCGAATTTGGGGATAACAGTAGCCAAAATGTTAAGGGTACCTTGATGGGCCAATGAGAAAATATAAATAATTTTTCAAAGACAATATTTCTTCTGCATCAGCCAGGATGGATCCAGGTATCCAAAGCTTGCTTGACCTGTAGATATGAAGGCCAAATGCTCCAAACGCTATTTTTCCAAATCCCCTTCAATCAAGATTCACTTAGTCAATGTCTTCTTACTTTACGTGGCTTTCACGGAAATTTTAAGAACACCTTGGTTTATCTGCACCCTGGAGGATCAGGAAAGAGTTTCACATCTTCTTGTGAATTTCATTTCGGGAAGGAGGTCATATAATCCATTTGATTTTTCCCAGAGTCGAATGCCAACCAGACATTTTTGTTCGGAAACTTTTGGACGGCGTTATCATGAATAGAGTCAGCTGAACTAAGCTTATTTTACCTATAGACACCAAGGGCAAATGCTGGAGAGGCAATTTTTTCCAAATCCGCCTCAATCACGAATCGCTTTATCAATGTCTTCTTTTTTTTTTTTCTTTTTTTTTTACGCGCCTTTATTGCATTGGCATTCTAGGACAGCTTGTTTTAGCTGCTTCTCGTATTAAGCGAAGGGAATAGCACGTGCCATTTCAGAGTCATGTTGAAATGTTATTTCTTGATTGTAACTGACTCAGTTGAGTATTTGGAATACTGGGCTTGAGTGCCCTCATGACAGAATGCCACGTCATTGTTTTTCAACTTTGCGTAGGTAGCCTAATAACGCTATCTTCTCTGTGTGTTTTCTCTTGTCCAAGTGTACACTGACAAAAATGCGTTTTTTAGTTGGTAAGAGATCTGTCTAAATTCCAAATTCAGACGTGATTTACCACACGTTTTGCAACGCATTTTTCATGAAATCAGTTTAGACTTGAACGTGAATTAAAATATATTGATATACAGTTTTCTGTGTTCCTTTCTGTTTTCTCAGCTTGTGGATCAGTTATGACATTAGATATAGCTAAATCCATTTTTTTTTCATTTGAGATAGAGCTCATATAGAAGATTTTAGTTTTTTTTCTTATGTAATTTCATTCTGAAGAAACCTTGAAAGAGACGGGGAAAGGTCAAATTGAAATTACGCACTCTTCTAAGTTAATTGTCCCACCAAAAACACGATAATGACGCGTGAAAATAGTCGCTCTTGCCTTAACACTAGAGAGGAGATCCAACAGCAGGTCAGGCTACAACCTTCGGATACCAAGATTCGAAAATTATACGCCCAACAGCAAAGAGGACATCAGCAAGAAATACAAACTCAGATAACGGGTGAACGCGTCAATACATTGAGTAAAATCAAAGGAGGAGAATCGCCGCGACACCAAGCAACTATGGAATCCGAAGGAAATTTAAAATGGCGGCAGCACGTTTCAGCTATGACCAAATGAATTTCAAACCAATTAAGTCTTAAGCATTCACTACAGCTGTAAGTTTAGGTTCGGGAAAATTACCATTCTAGACGTTTGTTGCTCAAATGACAACAATTCATCCGTGAAGTAACTTCTTTCTTTGTTTATATTTTGCCGAACATTCTTCCTCAAGCAAAAATTCGCAGTTTTTTCAGCTGAAGAGGAATTATACTATAGGCCAGTATGCGACTGGCCTGTAGGCCTACGAATTTTGAAATAGTGTCAAAGAGTTAAAATTACCGAAATCCCTGTGTGATTCGTGTTAAGAAGACAGAAAAAAAAATCATTCCACGGTAATTTCGGTAATCTCAGACAGATTCCTAGAACAAACAGGATTGCATGTTACGAAATCGCCTTTTGCTTTAAAAAAAATGGTAGTAAATGAGCACGAAAATTTTTTCGGATTTGACCCATTAATTCCTGAGTTCTTAACTTTCTAGAACACTTCTTGGAGATTAATAAGGTGTGGGAGGATTCGCGACGTCGCACGAAGGCCCTAATTGCATAAAGCGTAGGTGTCCATATCGACCATATGCTTTGACTGAATAAAAGTTTGTACAGAGAATTTTTTAAAATATAGAAAATCTCCTCAAAATGACGAAATTTACAAAATATTTGATAATTTCAAACACTAGACTGAATGTAGTAAACTTGAGCCACACATGTCCATACAAACTATGCCATACAAATGTACCTGATGATAGTGACTATGATTGTAATTTTCTGATTAAAGTATAATATCAATTCATATAAAACTTAGCTCAACTGAGTACGTGTCTACAATTGTTATTTAGATGAAAAATCAAAAGGGTGACCGATTAAGGTGTTATACATTCGAGACGAGCTTTCACAGATTTGGTCTCTGTACCGACCGATGACGCCAACTAAAGAAGATTATTTTTGACATTTTGACTTTTCAAAAAAAGTCTTCCTCGCCGTTCTATTAGATCGTTTTTCCTTGTGTGCTCAAATTCCGTAGTCCTTTTTTTTTATTATGGGAATTCCGATGTTTGTTTCAGAAGTCGAATAAATGTTTTTCACAAATGTGTTCACAGCATGGTAGAGAAATCAGAGATGGCGTAACGACCACGATAAAAAGAAAAAAAAACCCTTGCGGGCGTAGCGTTTCATTTGGGATAAGTTTGTGGTTGCTTCTCGTTCATCTTTTGAAGGAGTTAAACCTGGTTTCTCCAGCTATTTACTCCTTTCGTCAATCCACACATGTCCATAGCTAACACTGTGTATATCCCAGTTTTATCTGGAATCTTTGCAGAAGGAGAACTGCTCCTCTATATACTATTGTCAAACTTTTTGTTTTCTTCCACGCAGTCTGACTGTATTTATAAATGACGGTTTTTGAGTCGAATTGGAGGGGTGGACAATGGACCATGCAAAAATTAGAACCAGAAAAGCAACAAAAATGAGCAAGAAGTATAACTATATTATATACGATGCATTCAGCGTCAAACTCCAGAATATAATTACCTATTCATCCCCTTCGATTTTCGCAACCCTGCCAGTTATGCCATTATTGCTCAATAGTTAACTCGGGCTCCTCAAAAATGCCGTAAATGAGACAAGTTACGAAATTTTATCCACGAAAGTTAATATATTGAGTTTATTCAAAGAATTCCAGGTACTGAAATCCTATCTCAATTGCTTTGTAAAGTCTTGGATGGATTAAAAAATATATAAATTTAAGATGGCGACGATACTGGTGGTACCGGCATTTTAATTTTTTCAGAAGCTGTCTCTAAAAATATGTTGAAGTGGGATGAGAGGATAATTTCATGGTATTTTGATTTAAAGACGGCCAGAGCCAAAAACATATATATTCGTCTATTTTATGACCCATTTCATTAACTCAGTCGAGAAAATAATTTGTGATAATTTGACTTTTGATCGCTTTTCCTCATGCGCACAAAGTCCATTAACAAATACATTTTTCCTCGCGATGGGCATTTCGATCATTTTTCCAGAAGTTAAATTTAATTTTTTTTTAATGAGTTCACAGCATCATTGATAATAGATAGAGCAAGAATGGTACAAAGATAAAATTACTCGCGGACCTGTTTTTTTTTTGGTGTTTTTTTTTTCTACCGTTACTTACCCCTACGAGGTCTTAGAAAATTATATTCATATGTTCCAGTTTTACTTAGATTAGAGTAGAAATTGATGAAAAATTTAGTAAAAAGTCAGTATCTTTTCATCTACTATGAATTCAGCATGTCGACTGCTCGAGATCACTACGTAACTGTTAGCTTCTCGTGTTCACAAATATTACGGTCTAGATAAACTAGGAATAAAAGGGTACAATGAGTCTTAAGTCTGCTGAAATTTCATTGCATTCGCAGCTATCTCTGAAAATATCGTAATAAGAAGGGGAAAGCTTGTAATGTAAACTTATGCCACTTTTCTTTTTTATAA